TGAACCTCATGGGGATCGGGGTTTACTTGAACCTCATGGGGATCGGGCTTTACTTGAACCTCATGGGGACCGAGATTTATTCGAACCTTATATGGACCGGGTTTTACTTGAACCTTATGGGAACTGGGCTTTACTTGAACCTCATGATGATCGGGTTTACTTGAACCATATGGGACCTGATCTTTACTTGGACCCTATGGGGACAGGGCTTTACTTGAACCTCATGGGGATCGGGTTTACGTGAACCATATGGGGCCTGATCTTCACTTGGACCCTATGGAGACCGGGCTTTACTTGAACCTCATTGGAACCGAGCTTTGGTCCCTCCAAGAGCAGCTAGTCCTCACCATGTAGTATGTGTTCAAAAATGGTCCTCACAAAGTGACATAAACAAGCACACATATGCATGCATACACCCCCCCCACACACACACACACACACTGGTTTGTATTTCTACCCTTATTAATAAATTGTATTACCTTACATTTATGTCTACAACCTAATCCTAATCCCAACTATTACCAGTACATCCCTAATTAACCTGATCTGAGTTCACACTTAAACCTTTTCCTAACCCAAACAGGACGTTCCACATATTAAGACCAGGCTCTGGTCCCTGGTCCTGACAGGGTAGATGTACCAAACAATGTTTTAGAAGTTAACTATACATACACTCAGACAAACACACATTGATGCTAACTTTATAGGTTCATGTAAGGGATGCTAATTTCAGTATTCAACATTGCAGAAGGACAAACGAGTTTCCTAATTCTTATTTCTATAAATTCATACTTAATGCTAACCTGCATGAGAGCATTCATGTTTTTGTTCAGAAACACAACTTCTTCTTGTGTTCCTGAGAGAGAAGGAGCAGATGGACTGCTTTGGCTTTAACCAACTGCTCAAATATATTTATAAACCTTTCAATAAAGTACACAATGTAATATCTCACAGCTTGTCTGACAATGTCCTCATGTTGAAACATCCAGACGCTGCTGTTGAGTGTTGACCAGGGGCACCACCAGGGAAAGGTCTAAGGGGGGGCAATGGCCACCCCTAAAAACTTGGTTCCCTCCCACCACTGGCCCTCCTTGGCCAGACAATTTATCCTCTTGAGACCCAAGCTTTTGCTTGGTTTGCAGTTTTATTTCCCCATGTTATTTAGGATTAGTGGACTCTCATAAATACAAAAAACAAACTTTGTTTTTGAACAAGTAAGAGTTAACAATATCAATATTTTTCATTTAAAATAAAGAATACAAATTTACTCTAGTTTTCCTGAATAGCCAACCATTTTAAAACCATTGTGTTCAACTTTAGCATGTAGGATCTCAGGAGGAGTGCTTAATATTCTTTTATAAATATACATTTTGGAGAGGACAAGCTGAGTTGAGTATTAACAGTGCTATTCTCAAAAAGTAACATTACCTTTATTGTATTTATTTATTTTAAAATGTTATTATTTTTAAAATGCTATTTTAAACAAAGCATTTTATTTATTTATTATGAACTTTGTTTATAATAAATAAAATAGATCTCTGTAAATCAGAAGGTGATTCCCTAACTCCTGTATTGCGGCACAGTATTTGTCAAATAAATTATATTTAACAATTAAAAACACATTTTCAGAAATTCTGTTCAGGGTTTTAGTTTTAAAGTGCCACCCCAAAATTTCAGGTGGTCTCCGTATGGCCACCCCATCAAAACATTGCTGGAGGCACCACAGGTGTTGACATTATAACTGATGAACAGTTGTCAGTACAAGTCTGTGGAAATCAAGTGATTAATTGAAGCAACATATCTGCAAGTATACACAGATAATATCAGCGAACTGGTTGCTAGCACATTTTAAATTAAGCTGTAAGTTTGTATACAGAAAAAATGATTAACTAGAATTGCCAACTCAGTTCAAACCTTTAATACCTCTTATAAAAAAAAATTAAGCACAGTAAAGAGATAACACAAAACTGTGTTTATAAAATAAAATTAAAAAAAAGTTAATATTACCTTATTGGAGCTTAACAAATAGCTTTTATATTTGAGAAAAGTAGATTGTTTAGGCCTCTTAACCTTAACTTTTGTTTTATTTTTTATGTTCAGTCAATAACGATACTGCTGAGGTACTTGCTGCATAAAACAGATATAATTTTGAGTGTGCTAACATAGTTCAAGTTCAAGTATCTTTATTATCCCCGAGGGGCAATTAGTTTCACAGTCAGTAGGTATAAAACACCCATGCTACATAAGACATTAAAAAAACAATACGGAAGTCATCTGTTCATTGAGAAACCTGATCACCACAGGGATGAATGAGTTTTTCAGTCTGTTTGTCTGCAGCTTTCTCACATTTTTTTCTCCTGTGATAAAAAATTAAGAGTGTTATGATTACATTTAACAAATTTTATTTTTGCTCAAGCAAAAAATATAATTTGCTCAATATTTGAAATAAAACAGAACAAAATTTGAAGTAATAAACAGTTGTTTTAAGTCCAAGGTTCAAGGTTGAAGT